AAAAAGGAGGGGGTATACAAACGCAAGAATTACCGGGAATATTTAAAAATTACTCGTTTTCAAAAATTTTAACTTTTTGGTTTTTTAAATTTCAAAAAACGGTTAATTTTCGCTAAAAAAGATCAAAATTTCCCTACACAAAACCTAACCTTAAACTTTTCCTTTATTGTGTTCGAAAACTTCTTTTCTGAATCACTTTCTATCTTTTGATATTCTTGATTGAAATACTTTACAAACATTTCAAAATTTAATTTATTTTTAAAGAATGTTGGGATATGCTCATCTAATTTATTTATCTCTTTAATTTCATCAATATACTTTTGTATTTTGTTCGTATCATTTAGAATTTTAGTAGCAGTACGTAAATTCTCTCCAATTTTCTCCAAATTTTCAAGTGCCTTTTCAATTTTTTTATTACTATTTTTCTTAGTTTGTAATTTCAGGCTCTCTTTTTGCTTATCTATTTCTGGTTCGCCCACTTTTTCTAAACCTTGATTATCATATCCAATCCAAGTCTTTAAAAAACTAGGAATAATAGCCGAATTCGCACCAAAAATAACTAACAAAATCACAAAAGAATAAAAATTAAAGTATTTTTTAGAAAATTTTTTAATTTTCATCTAAATTAATTTAAAAATTTATAAATTTATATTAAATATTTATTTTTAAATTTGAAGCAATTTATAAATTATCGTTAAGGAGCAGCTCATAAAAAAGTGAATCGCCATGTTTTAACGTCATTAGAATTAGCTAAGAAAGCTTAATTATATAACCAGTGCTTGGAAGCTTGTACCAAAATTCGTACTCGTACCTCGTACTCGTACTTGGTATGAAGTACGAGTACGAGGTCGGAACTGGAGGTGGTACGAGGTGATCAGACACATACATATCCTTTAATTCAAACAAATTCATGTCCAAAAAATCTTCTACAACCTTTAGGAACCAAATAATCTCCCCCTTACTATATACAATACTTACTATATAATATATCCCTTACTATATACAATACTTACTATATAATACTATATAATATATCCCTTACTATATAATTATCTCCCTTACTATTTAGGAACCAAATAATCTCCCTTACATTGAAGTGGAGGGTTAAATTCAGTCTCGCTACCTAGGATTTATTTTTAAATGCAGAAACAAACATCTTCATTAAAGGGCATACACGAGGAGTGAATGTCATAAACGCCCGCACAGCCTCCCAAAAATTGATTGTGACGTTAAATAGAGAAATTTTTAATTGATTTAATTAATTAATCAATTAAAAATCACAAGGAATATAGCTATCATTACTTTGTCAATAAAACAAATTAAAGTTTTACTCAAATAATTGGCCACTGCATTACCTCCTAAACACCGCAACATAACCTGCAACCAAGAGCCGTTTCAGTGGCGCTGAAATAAATAAAACACCTTTCTGTTTTACTTTGCGCTCTATTTTTCCGCATGCTATTTTTTCAAGGATTTGAGGTGCCAACTCCGAGAAGCTTTATCTCAAAAAAACTCTGAAAAAAAGTTATTTTAGCCAAATCGTTAAACATTATCTTATCTTTGTTTTACACCCAAATTTATCGATTTTTTAAACGTTTAAAAAAGGTTTAAATAACGAATGAATCAAGTTTGAAAATGAAAAATAAAGGGAAAAGCTTTATAAAAAAGTGTATTTTAATTTTAAATGACAATAGATGTCAGTTCACTCACAATCACACACTCTCAATTCTGCCTAAAGCCCTACTAGTTTTAATTTCATGCTTTTAATAATATCCATAATCCATAAAATTGTATAGTTTAAAAATATTTTATAATTTACAGCTTTCCAAAAATTTTTCTATTATGTTATTGCATTTGTTTCCCATTTTTAAATAGAGAAATGATTTCTAATAAGTTAAACTAAAAATCACTAAGAATTTCTGTATTATATTTGTGTATTTATAAGAGAATACAGACATTTAAACTTGAGGAAATATATGAATAAATGATATTGATAACTCATTCGAAAAAGATCAAATCTGTATTTAAACCTGTGTGAAAGATACAAGGATAATTGCTCAAAACAACTAAGGTTTTTTTTCAATGTAGTGTTATGGGTTATTTAATAACCCGGTTATGGGTTATTTATTTTCATCTATGTTCTTTCTGCAAGTGCGGACACAACAATACTAATCTTAGCTGATATAATAAAACTTGTGAAAAAATATTTTAGCTTGTCTTTATTGACAATTAAGAAATTAATTAAATTAAAAATAAAAATAAATAAATTTATTATAATTAATGAATCCTTTACACTGCCAGCAATTTAAATTACATCTATCCCCCTTTCTCCTTCACTCCCCCCCTCTCTCCATCTTCCCATCTCGTTAGTGATAGCGAAAATGAGGGAGAGACTTTATTTTATTGACAAATCCTCTCCATATCGCTGCCAGCAATTTAAATTACCCCCCCCCCCCCTCCTCTCTTCCTCCCTCCTTAAGAGATAGCGAAAATGCGACTGAAGAGAGAGAATTTAATGAGAGGTTATTCATGGGTAAAGATGGAGAGATATTGATTTAAGTTTTATAGGTTTCTTATCGTAAAATTACAAACACGTTTACAGTTTTTTCCTTTCAACAACATCAAAAACATAATATGAAAACAAATTCGAATACACAAATTTTAAGATAGATTTTTTAAATGTCCCGTAAATGCCAAAAGAAACTTAATTTCTATGACGTACAAACAGAGATAGGGTTGAGAAAACAGAAGTCAATATTATGTAAAAGTGGAACGATATAGAGTTTTAAGTTATGCGCCGTTTGTTTGATTTCTCCTCAATTAAAAAATTATTCCGATACTGGATGCGAGTAAGAATCTTGTGTTGTTGGTTGATGTTTTATAAATATCATTACAACACTCGCTTTCTACATAGGATTCCTTGATTTTAGTGAATGTATAAAAAATGAATTAAACTATTATCTACGGAAATCATTAAATGTGTTTTGCAGCCTTGGGTCCGACAACTTTTGACGTAGACTGGATCTTCCAATAGATCTTATAAAATAAATATTGAGTAGAATAATAAGACCGAATATTTGTTAAGTGAGAAATCTTAACTAATAAATATTTCTAGCATATTCTATGGTATTATTGTAATCTTAGAAAATAAATATTGTTTAGAATAATAATACCGAATATTTGTTAAGTGAGAAATCTAAACTAATAAATATTGCTAGCATATTCTATTGTATTATTGGAATCTTAGAAAATAAATATTGAGTAGAATAATAAGACCGAATATTTGTTAAGTGAGAAATCTAAACTAATAAATATTGCTAGCATATTGTATGGTATTATTGGAATCTTAGGTAATAAATATTCATTAGAAAAATAAGACCGAATATTTGTTAAGTGTCAAATCTAAACTAATAAATATTGCTAGCATATTGTATGGTATTATTGGATCTTAGGTAATAAATATTCATTAGAATAATAAGACCGAATATTTGTTAAGTGATAAATCTAAACTAATAAATATTGCTAGCATATTGTATGGTATTATTGGAATCTTAGAAAATAAATATTGATCAGAATAATAAGACCGAATATTTGTGCTCAAGCGCCTCCAGGCACTGGAAAGACCTACAATGCTTTTCAATAATTGCTGCCATTTTGGGCGGTAAACCGAGGCAGGAACCAGAGGCCCCCACAAAGTTGGTGGAGGAGATCGTAAGGCGATGAACTACTTTGAAAAAAAGAAACAACAGCAAAATGTTAATTTTCTACAAATTCTATATTCATTAAAGCTTCTCTAAATGCTCTAAATATTTTAAAGAAAATTTTCTAAAATTTGGATGAATAAAAATTTTTTACAATCGAATATCATTGTAAAAAACGGAATCACTTTTTTTATCTATAACTAAAAATGAATTATACAATTCAATATAAAATAAAAAATTGTGTGCGTATTGCGACAGGAAAATTGTGGGAAAAGTAGCAAACGTTTTTGTCGCTTATTTTTTAATTGTTATTTTCGTCTTTTCCATTATCTCTGCAAACTTTTGCGGACACTTTATTCCCCTTTCTATAACGTTTATAAGGCAGAATGGTCAGTATTTCTTCCTTCATCAATTTCTCTCTATTTCCCTGCGGCATCATTCAACAAGAGATTAATAAAAAAAAGTTTATTCTCTGTAATACATATGTATCACCAAATAAATATAAAATCGTTTCAGGCTAAAACGCGGCACAGACAATAAACGGACAGACATACCGGTTTATGTGGCCAAAACACTGTCTATGGACAGTGTCTTGGTGTTATCATTGAATTATGCCACATGGAGATAGAGAAAAATTGAGGAAGGAAGAAATACCGGATACCGGTAAAGGAAACAAAGTGTCCGAAAAATTTGAAGGGATAACTAAAAAGTCACAAAAGTTTGACATCTCCTGTCACAAAAAGCAAAGCTTATGTTTTCAAGGCAGGAAGTCTGTCGCAACACGTATCTGTGAAAATTTTTTATATCGCACAGTTCTTGTTAGACTGTATAGGAGTGGATAAAAAATTTGAGGGTTTATACAGGAATATGTTGAATGTTGGTGAATGAGGTAATATGAAATATTTAAAAAATATAGTATAGTAGTATACAAACTGATGCAAGTTTTAACTTGTGTTTTGTTTTAAAAAATCATTTTTGTGTATGTCATATGAATGTCGCATATATTTACATTGGTACTTAATTAATACCCCTCCCCGTCTGCCTATTTGAATCTTAGATTAATTTTCCTTTTATCTTCAATCATTTTCCTCAAGTATTTTAGATAAAAGAATAAAAGTTAGGGAGTAAAAAATTGACATTAACGGCAAAAATCAACATTCAATAGAAGAAGATTTGACAATTTTGAGACAGATAAGGTAATAGGAAAATTAATCTGAAACTCAAACAGAGAGGGGCGGGATATTAAAAAAGTACCTTTTCCTTGTGTCAGATTTTTCCAAAACTTCCGAATTTTTCACTTTAATCAATTTTTTCCTTCTTCGTGTTGGGGTTTTCCACCATTTTGTTGAACAGTTTTTTCCCATTCCCAAATACTCCTGCAAAACGCTCTAATAAACTCTCCTTTTCAAATTCTTTAAAAAAATCCTCCAATTTCTTTTCAATCGGCTTCTTATCTACTTCATGAAAATATCGGTCTTCAAATTCACTCTCATCATTACTCAAATTTATCCCAAAAAAATCTTCAACGTCTATGTGATAGAAACCCTTTGAATATTGCGAGAAAGCGTTGCAGATTTCCTCCGAACATGCTTGTAAAACTTCGTTTTTTTCGAACATCTCGTAGATACTTTTAACGCTTCCCATATTACACATTTCTATTTTTTCTAAAAAATTAATGAATTTGTTTGATTCCAAATCCTTCAAATGTTTTTGCATTTCCTTAAAAAATTTATTTTTAGTTAAAAATTTAAATTTATGCATCCATCTATTAACTGAGTCAAGTAAAATTGCCTTAACACTCTAAACAATAACATGTAATTTAGCCCTAATCTCATGCTCTATATTAGAAGCCCGCCCACTAACAAGACCCACTGATAAATAAACGTCAGTTGGATTTAATTAGAATGTTTAATTTTCAACTTTTAATTTTTTCACATAAGTTAAGCTCCAAGCAGGCATCCTGCAACCTTACGGATCCAAATATCAAGAAAAACACCAGGTCCCTGACATCACCTTCTAATAGCAGCGACCGATCGCTACCTTCTAAACTTTTGACCTTCTTTCCTTAAGAAATAAACTTACCTCAAATTTTTCCTTTATTACTTTCGACGCCTCTTTTGACTTGCTTATAAAGTTGTAACGTTTGGTAAAATAATTTACAAAATTTTTAAACGTTGAAACATTCTTAAAGAATGTCAGAATTTGTGCATCGAGCGCTTTTACTTCAATAATTATGTTTAGATAGTTGGATATATTTTTATAATCTGTCATAGTTTCAATAAAAGGAAGTGCAACATTCTTATATTTCTTAAAATTTCCAATTTCGAATGCCTCCTCATTCATTTGTTTCATCTTTTCCTTAGGAATATTTTTACCTTGTTTACCCCCACTTTCCAACTTCCCTGTTTCAACTTCATGTTCTCCTTCATTTTTCAATTTTTGATAGCCATCATGGCTTCTTTCAAATTTCAAAACACCTGCATTAACCGAGGAATTGGCAACAAAAATAGCCAATAAGATTACTAAACAATAAAACGCATAGAAACTCGGAGAATTTCCAAATAGCATTTTTGCCACTTTTTCTTTAAATTAATTAAAATTTAATTTTTAATAGAAAAAAAAATTAAAAAAAAATAAATTGATTTTAAAGAGAGGTTAACGAGGGAAATGGCATGGCTAATAAGACGCGAGGCTTCTCAAGGGTAAACGCACGCCTTTAAAAAAACGCACGCCTTCTTCTCAAGGGTAAAACGCACGCCTCTAAAATTTTGACTGCCAAAAATTATTCAAGGCTCCACCTTTTTAAATTCTATTTTCTCCCTCTAAAATTTTCAACTGTTGTAGGGGAGAGAAACTGAGGAAATTAAAACTTTTAGGAACATGAGAAATGTCTAGGAACATGAAAGGAGACAGATTTCTTCTGATTCTCGAACGGTACTGTTTTTGTTAGATATGCTTGATTTAGGAGATTATGGAAAACGAGAAGTTCCCTCATTCCTGCCCAGTGTTTGAATGTAATGCCAAAAACGCACGCATCGATTGTTTATTGACAACCAATCAAACAACAATCAATTGTCATGCGCCATCAAACATCTTCATTAAAGGGCATCCACGAGAAGTGAATGGCAAAAACGCCCGCATGCCTTCCCAAAAATGGAGTGTGACTTTGTATGGAGAAATTTTATATTGATTTAATTAATTAAAAATTTTAAAATATTAATTTATTAACTTCAACATTGTAGTTAATTAAAACAATGTTTAAACAGAGTCAATATCTCTGTTCTAAATCAACTCAATTTTTGAGATTCACTCCTCGTGGATGCACTTTAACATGAAGGCATCCACAAGGATGAGGGGTTCGACATGGAGCCAGAACTTCTTGATTATGTTTGTCTTGGACAGTGTTTATCTAAACATTAAAACTTTCCCAAGCGGTGTAATAGCGGCTAAACGGAACCTCTTCACCTCGAGAGGTGCCCTCTACCCGATCGGAGAGTGCGTTCCTTTTAATGTTTATTACACCGCTTCTTTCTCAAACATTTTACAAACAAAAGAGGAAGGAGAAAAGGAACAAAGTCTAAGGATTTCTATTAACATTAATATTGATTGGAAATACTTAAAGCGAAAAATGAAAATAAAAATAAATTATGGCAATTGGAATTTTGAGTATTGGAAATTTGGGTCCTCTTTCCTCTGGAATTGAGTTGTTGGTCGCTCGGGGCCGTGAACATATTGAGATCCTACTAATATAAATAATTAGAAATTAATTTAGAATTTATGTTTAGGCGGCCTCGACAAGCGCCATCAAACATCTTCATTAAAGGGCATCCACGAGAAGTAAATGCCAAAAACGCACGCATGCCTTCCCTAAAATTGAGTGTGACTTTTAATAGAGAAATTTTATATTGATTTAATTAAAAATTTTAAAATATTAATTTATTAAATTCAACATCGAATTTAATTAAAACGATGTTGTAAATAGAAGTGAATTTGTTAGTAATTTTGTTTAGTTTGAAATTAATTTTACAACAATATAATTACCCAAACATTTACTAATATTCTTCCAAAATTGTTGAATTAATGTTTTTATAATTTTTAAAAATAATTCTTGAATTGTTTATTTTTAATTTAAAAATAAGATAAATTTAAATGAATTTATGCTTTTGTTAAAAATATAAAATAGTACAATTTGATGAATAATTTAAAAAATCAAATAAAATATTTTTAGAAAGTTTTTTAAATTTAAAAAGTAAAAAACACAAATTGGACGATAAATAAATGTAAATCATATAGCTATTTATTTCCTAAGGCTCTTTGGTAGGCGGTGTGGTGTACTAAATAACACATCATTCCGGTCTAGGTACTTGAAGGTACTTTCGAACAGCTGAAGGAGAAAAATAGCTATAGCTCAGCTGCTTTACTTAAAGTGGCCCGCAAATATAAAACAATTTTGTGTGACGATTTTGAAGGGGAATATTTACAAGACTAATGGGTGGTGTTGTGTAATGTTGTTAGGATCGTTTAAATCCAGTGAAAGCGACAGTTAGTCGAATCATCCCTTTCTTAAAGAAAAGATAACTCTTTCATGTTGTATATAAAATAGTAATAATAAATAATAAAAAAATAAAAATAAAATGAAAATATTGTCACAGGTGCTTCTGCGGACATGTAGACGGAGAGCTGAACACACAAGACAGGGAGTTGACCACATAATTTGTGTGACATATTTTTCCTGATACTTTTCCATTATATCCCCACAATTTCTTTTATTTACATATTTCCTTTCTTATAAAATGGTCAAATTGAATTATGGTAAAGGATTAAGTTAATAAAAAACTTTAATATAAGAAAAATATCATTGAATTTTTGTCAGCTTTGATGGTATTTTAAAATTTATGTCTGATTTTTGGAAAGAATGATAAGGGTGGGGTCTCATAAAAATTTTTATGGGAATAAGGAGCTTTAGTCACCCAAAAGATACATATAAGACGCACTAAACTTGAACTTTTGTTTCTAAAAAGCAGAGAATCATACTTTAGCTCCATTGTGGGCAAAGATATAACGGAAAAGTACAGGTTTTTTTACAACATTTAATTTCCTTTTTTACCCAATTTTTGATAATTTTTGTTCTTTTTCTCGAATTTCTTCAATTGACGATTAATAAAGCTATCCTTTTTCTTCTCAAATTTATCAAAAAATTGTTTCAAGTCTTCATCTTCTTTTTCCTTAATCGAGTTCAATTTATCCGAAATCTCTTGCTTATTATCTCCCTTGGCACCTTGCAAGGCTTTACTCAATTCTTCGCCAAGAGAAATTTCAAGGTTAATGTGATTCTTTGTATAGGGCAACATATGCCCGCATATTTCTTTCGAATTTTTTTTCAAAGCTTCGTTCTTTTCGAAAATTTTGTAGATACTTTTATAGCTTTCCTCCATACACATTTCTATTTTGTCCAAAAAATTTGAAAAATTTTCTTCATCCAATCCTTTCAGATTGTTACCCAATTTCTAAAAAAAATTTTTCAAAAATTTTAATTTATGAATCTACACACTGAGTTTTGTAAAATTTTAGATAAATTTTTTAACAATATCAACACGAAACCTTTCCAAAAATTCGCCAACCCTAATTGTTAGGAAACACATTACATATTGCGTATTAGAGCTTTATTGTGTAAAGCAGCTGGGCTATAGCTATTTCTCTCCTTTAGCTAGTGCAAGTGGTTAATCGGCGGCTGGGAGTGAACCAGCGTCTTCAGTAGATGCTGGTTCCTCTTCAGCACTGCTTTGGGAAATTAATAGCTATACGCTTTACAATTGGCACTCTTTTAGAAGCTTCTAAATGAACTTCTAATAAACGGATTAAATGTTTAAATAAAATATGTATAAACAAACCTCAAAATTTTTCTTGAGTGTTTTCGACGTATTTTTAGACGTGTTTATAGCTTGGTAACGTTTGCTGAAATGATCTATAAATTTTTTAAAAGATGGGGCATTTTTAAAGAATTTTAGAATTTCTTTATCTAAAGTTTTTAGATCATCAAATTTGGCTATATATTTGTCTATATTTTCGAAATCTGTTATAGTTTCAATAAAACCAAGAGCTATTTTCTTATATTTCTCAAAATTTCCAACAAGTTTTGCTTCAACTTCCATTTCTTTAAACTTTTCCTCATAATCAATTTTGGGTTGTTTCCCCTCGTTCTCCAATTCCCCATTTTCAGCTTCATCGTCCACTTTTTCTAATTTTTGATAACCAACATGGCTTCTTTTAGATTTAAAAAAACTAGCATTAGCTGAGGAATTGTCATCAAAAATAGCCAATAACATTATAAAACAATAAAATATGGAGAAATGCCAACAAATGTTTGGCAACATTATTGACAATTTTTGTCTAAATTAATTAAATTTAAATTTTTTTTGAATTTTTTCTTAAATTTAAAATGGATTTTTACGAGAGGTGAGACGCTAAAATGAAGGGATTCTTCTTATTCTTTACATTGACAACTTCTATTAGCAAAACGCGAGCGTCTATAATTGATTCTGAAAAATTATTTAAGAACCCCCCCCCCTTCCACCTCCTCCTCCCTCAGACCTCCTCCTCCCTCTTCCATCTCCTTCCTCTTCCACATCTCTCTTTCTCTTTAAAATTCTCTCTTCCTCTAAAATTTTCGTCTGCTTTGGGAGTGAATACGAGGGAAATAAAACGTCTAGGAGTGATAGAGCATAGGTAGGTATGTGGCAATTGATTATAATATTTATAAGTTTCTAGACTGCCAAACATCTAAATAGGTTTCAATGGGGGTAGGTTAGGTTGACAATCAGATTAGGTAGTAAAAACAGGCTTAAATCTTCATAAGTGCTTCGCTTCTATCACGGATATGCCCATAATCAACCTAAATCCCTCAATGAAATACTAAATCCCATAATAAAATACTACAAAAACGGCCGATTCCGGAAAAAGATTGGAATATGGCCGGAGCCGGATCCACAAACGACCATAACCTAGCACTATTTATAAAAGAAAGCCGATTTTAAAATTAACAATGACTTCAAATACCGGAGGAGGATTTGATTAGGGACTTTGAATAATAAAGAGCATACAAGAGGAGAAAATGCAATAAATCCCCCACATGCCTCTTTAAAATGAGTGTGTGATATTGAATAGTGAAATTTCTATATTGATTTAATTAATCAATTAAATTTAAATATTAATTAAAAATATAGAAAGGTTATTTTATTATATTCAACTTTGTTTTTGAAAATAATGTCTAGAATTCGAATATGATAAGTTCGAATATTACTGGAAGCATCAGCACAAAAATTAACATTCACACATAGATTAAGAATGGTTATTCATACAGGTGGGTTGTGTAGCAAATTGCAGTCTATGTTTCGAGTCCAGATGTTGATATTGTAGATCTTCTGCAAGTTCGAAATTTATTTAGACAAATATTATAGCTCTTTAGTTATAAATAAAGTATGATATCTTCTGCAAGTCGAAATTTATTTAGACAAATATATTCTATTATAGCTCTTTAGTTATAAATAAAGTATGATATCTTCTGCAAGTTCGAAATTTATTTAGACAAATATATTCTATTATAGCTCTTTAGTTATAAATAAAGTATGATATCTTCTGCAAGTTCGAAATTTATTTAGACAAATATATTCTATTATAGCTCTTTAGTTATAAATAAAGTATGATATCTTCTGCAAGTCGAAATTTATTTAGACAAATATATTCTATTATAGCTCTTTAGTTATAAATAAAGTATGATATCTTCTGCAAGTTCGAAATTTATTTAGACAAATATATTCTATTATAGCTCTTTAGTTATAAATAAAGTATGATATCTTCTGCAAGTCTAAATTTATTTAGACAAATATATTCTATTATAGCTCTTTAGTTATAAATAAAGTATGATATCTTCTGCAAGTTCGAAATTTATTTAGACAAATATATTCTATTATAGCTCTTTAGTTATAAATAAAGTATGATATCTTCTGCAAGTCGAAATTTATTTAGACAAATATATTCTATTATAGCTCTTTAGTTATAAATAAAGTATGATATCTTCTGCAAGTCGAAATTTATTTAGACAACTATATTCTATTATAGCTCTTTAGTTATAAATAAAGTATGATATCTTCTGCAAGTCGAAATTTATTCAGACAAATATATTCTATTATAACTCTTTAGTAATAAATAATGTATGATATCTTCTGCAAGTTCGAAATTTATTTAGACAAATATATTCTATTATAGCTCTTTAGTTATAAATAAAGTATGATATCTTCTGCAAGTTCGAAATTTATTTAGACAAATATATTCTATTATAGCTCTTTAGTTATAAATAAAGTATGATATCTTCTGCAAGTCGAAATTTATTTAGACAAATATATTCTATTATAGCTCTTTAGTTATAAATAAAGTATGATATCTTCTGCAAGTCGAAATTTATTTAGACAAATATATTCTATTATAGCTCTTTAGTTATAAATAAAGTATGATATCTTCTGCAAGTTCGAAATTTATTTAGACAAATATATTCTATTATAGCTCTTTAGTTATAAATAAAGTATGATATCTTATGCAAGTCGAAATTTATTTAGACAAATATATTCTATTATAACTCTTTAGTTATAAATAAAGTATGATATTTCTGCAAGTCGAAATTTATTTAGACAAATATATTCTATTATAGCTCTTTAGTTATAAATAAAGTATGATATCTTCTGCAAGTCGAAATTTATTTAGACAAATATATTCTATTATAGCTCTTTAGTTATAAATAAAGTATGATATCTTCTGCAAGTTCGAAATTTATTTAGACAAATATATTCTATTATAGCTCTTTAGTTATAAATAAAGTATGATATCTTCTGCAAGTTCGAAATTTATTTAGACAAATATATTCTATTATAGCTCTTTAGTTATAAATAAAGTATGATATCTTCTGCAAGTCGAAATTTATTTAGACAAATATATTCTATTATAGCTCTTTAGTTATAAAAAAAGTATGATATCTTCTGCAAGTTCGAAATTTATTTAGACAAATATATTCTATTATAGCTCTTTAGTTATAAATAAAGTATGATATCTTCTGCAAGTTCGAAATTTATTTAGACAAATATATTCTATTATAGCTCTTTAGTTATAAATAAAGTATAATATCTTCTGCAAGTCGAAATTTATTTAGACAAATATATTCTATTATAGCTCTTTAGTTATAAATAAAGTATGATATCTTCTGCAAGTCGAAATTTATTCAGACAAATATATTCTATTATAACTCTTTAGTAATAAATAATGTATGATATCTTCTGCAAGTTCGAAATTTATTTAGACAAATATATTCTATTATAGCTCTTTAGTTATAAATAAAGTATGATATCTTCTGCAAGTTCGAAATTTATTTAGACAAATATATTCTATTATAGCTCTTTAGTTATAAATAAAGTATGATATCTTCTGCAAGTCGAAATTTATTTAGACAAATATATTCTATTATAGCTCTTTAGTTATAAATAAAGTATGATATCTTCTGCAAGTCGAAATTTATTTAGACAAATATATTCTATTATAGCTCTTTAGTTATAAATAAAGTATGATATCTTCTGCAAGTTCGAAATTTATTTAGACAAATATATTCTATTATAGCTCTTTAGTTATAAATAAAGTATGATATCTTATGCAAGTCGAAATTTATTTAGACAAATATATTCTATTATAACTCTTTAGTTATAAATAAAGTATGATATTTCTGCAAGTCGAAATTTATTTAGACAAATATATTCTATTATAGCTCTTTAGTTATAAATAAAGTATGATATCTTCTGCAAGTCGAAATTTATTTAGACAAATATATTCTATTATAGCTCTTTAGTTATAAATAAAGTATGATATCTTCTGCAAGTTCGAAATTTATTTAGACAAATATATTCTATTATAGCTCTTTAGTTATAAATAAAGTATGATATCTTCTGCAAGTTCGAAATTTATTTAGACAAATATATTCTATTATAGCTCTTTAGTTATAAATAAAGTATGATATCTTCTGCAAGTCGAAATTTATTTAGACAAATATATTCTATTATAGCTCTTTAGTTATAAAAAAAGTATGATATCTTCTGCAAGTTCGAAATTTATTTAGACAAATATATTCTATTATAGCTCTTTAGTTATAAATAAAGTATGATATCTTCTGCAAGTTCGAAATTTATTTAGACAAATATATTCTATTATAGCTCTTTAGTTATAAATAAAGTATAATATCTTCTGCAAGTCGAAATTTATTTAGACAAATATATTCTATTATAGCTCTTTAGTTATAAATAAAGTATGATATCTTCTGCAAGTTCGAAATTTATTTAGACAAATATATTCTATTATAGCTCTTTAGTTATAAATAAAGTATAATATCTTCTGCAAGTCGAAATTTATTTAGACAAATATATTCTATTATAGCTCTTTAGTTATAAATAAAGTATGATATCTTCTGCAAGTCGAAATTTATTCAGACAAATATATTCTATTATAACTCTTTAGTAATAAATAATGTATGATATCTTCTGCAAGTTCGAAATTTATTTAGACAAATATATTCTATTATAGCTCTTTAGTTATAAATAAAGTATGATATCTTCTGCAAGTTCGAAATTTATTTAGACAAATATATTCTATTATAGCTCTTTAGTTATAAATAAAGTATGATATCTTCTGCAAGTCGAAATTTATTTAGACAAATATATTCTATTATAGCTCTTTAGTTATAAATAAAGTATGATATCTTCTGCAAGTCGAAATTTATTTAGACAAATATATTCTATTATAGCTCTTTAGTTATAAATAAAGTATGATATCTTCTGCAAGTTCGAAATTTATTTAGACAAATATATTCTATTATAGCTCTTTAGTTATAAATAAAGTATGATATCTTATGCAAGTCGAAATTTATTTAGACAAATATATTCTATTATAACTCTTTAGTTATAAATAAAGTATGATATTTCTGCAAGTCGAAATTTATTTAGACAAATATATTCTATTATAGCTCTTTAGTTATAAATAAAGTATGATATCTTCTGCAAGTCGAAATTTATTTAGACAAATATATTCTATTATAGCTCTTTAGTTATAAATAAAGTATGATATCTTCTGCAAGTTCGAAATTTATTTAGACAAATATATTCTATTATAGCTCTTTAGTTATAAATAAAGTATAATATCTTCTGCAAGTCGAAATTTATTTAGACAAATATATTCTATTATAGCTCTTTAGTTATAAATAAAGTATGATATCTTCTGCAAGTCGAAATTTATTCAGACAAATATATTCTATTATAACTCTTTGTAATAAATAATGTATGATATC